AAGTTTCTCCGCGGATTCGGGCTCCTCTCAGCGAGCGCACTCCAACCCCATTTTCAAAAAAGTAAAATAAAAATTCCAAGGACGTTTTTTAGCTCGTCTGGTTTTGCCGGACGGACCCCCCCCGGTCCGTCTGGACCGGGCGTCGACGTAACCCAGAAAATAATATAATAAAGTAAAAAACTGTAACCGAAAATCGTAAGGGGCAATACCCTAGTCTGCCAAGTCGCTTGGACTCAGGACAAGTATCGATTCGGTAATCTTCCTGGTCACGATTCATATTCCCCGTCTCCATATAGATCTTCTTATCTTCGTCTGGCAGCTTCCTGCAGGGTGTACGTCACCAATCTTCATCTTGTCGCATCGTGTGCCCCCCTTGACCTCGGTGTACCGGGTATCAAACAGCTGCTTCGGCGTTTATTGTACCCTTCGTAGTCCCTGTTTTTTTATTCCCAGCACTCGTAGCACGCCCTAAGCTTTGTTGCCATTTCAGACAAGACCCTCCCTCCCACCCTTGCCGAAGTTGCCGCTACTTTATCTAGTGCCGAAAAAAGTATCTTACTGGGAAACCTTGCCCCTTTCAGTTCTCTGTGGAAAGTCACAAAACAGAAAGGGAGCAGTACTTCCGAACCCGTGTTGCTTAGAATTCGATACGTAGTGCTGATAATATTTGCAGTTTTTTGTTCTTTCGGTCCAAATGAGTCAAAACTTCTTGTAATCATGAATTTTTGCTTGTCCGGTTGTTCCCAGATACTTTTGGCATTCTTGAATTTGTGCATTAAAACAATCTTTGTTGGCTCTTCGAGTATAAAGATTCTCCTTTCGAGAAAATAGACAATACCCAGAGGCCTGAATCTGTGCGCTCCAGTCTCAGATCGGCATGATAACAAGTAGTGATCTTATCCATCATTCGTTCGGTTTGTTCTTTGCTTAATGGATCGTTCTTTTTATATAAGCCTAAAAGGACTAAATCATCAACATAGCTTTTTCCAAAAAGGCATTTTTTATCTTTTCCGAGCGAACTTAGGAATTTATGTTCTGCGTACATACATACCAGTGAAGCCAGTGGGGGGCTGGCTTGCCCGCCCATTGGAATCCCTTTGTCTTGTCTCGTAATTGCTCCAGCGGACTTGAAGAAAACGTGGTCCAGCTAAAAACTGGTCAGCTTCTCCAGGTCGCTCAGCCGTATAGATTTCCATCCTTTTTCTCCTGCCGCTTTTCCAAATGTTGCTCCCTTCCCATGTGTTTTCACTCTCACCCAGTATTTCCCCTTTTCTTTGAATTTTGAGAATATCCATTTAATTGCCGCCCTCACTTCGTTGTGTGGAATTTTTGGAAATATTTCTTTGATATCATAAGTTTGGGCAATGACCCCGAGATCTTCTATCCTAACACGCTCATTCATGGCAGAGAGGTTCATTGTTAGGCAATTGCCTGGTATCAAGTTGAAGTGTTCCGCCTTCTTTGTTCTTATCATCAGGTTTAGTGCTTTGACCAGATTCTTGCTTGCAAATCTAGCCGGATTAGCGAAGGAGGGGCAAATTGTTTTTTTTTTCTTTTTGAGATCCTTTTCTTTGCTCATGATAAATGCATTCTGAAATCTTCCCTTACTGTCCCATCTTCCGGTTTTTCCAAGTTGCAGTTTCTTGAACTGCAGTCTCATCTCACGACACACATCCCCTTCAGATTTATTGACCTTCACGAAGTCCGGGTTGTCGTTAAATGTTTGCTTCATGTTTTCGCAGTACATCTTAGGACATTCGATAAGCGTTGCACCTGGATTTCTATCCAGGGGGGAGAGAGTCAGTCCTTGAAAAGCCCCTTTCACCCCCATGATATACTCACATGTTACCGCCTTTTCAGGCAGCGGAGGTCCCACTCGGTTGAGCCTTAGTGGCGAGATCTTACAGTCGTAAGTCACCACCTTGTGAAGATCCCTCAAAGCCAACTTACAGGCTTTGTTCACAATACTCAGAGTCTCGGTTTCGACCAGGGTATGGTACATTTCGCGAATTGAAAAGGAAAGAGTCAGCCTCCGGGACGTCGCTCAGTCTGACCCGTACATGCCCATTTGTTTTGGGCAGTTCGAACCTATGCCACTCGCAGTCAATAATTTCCTCAGTTGCGACTGCCTTATGGTTATGCAGAAGATCTGCGACAGTCTTGGCTTTCGTCGAGACTACTCACAACTTCTTTTGCATCAAGTCGGCGAGTTCCGGAGGTTCAAATTTTCCTCCAATCCATTCACAGACTTTCACTCCTCACACATCGTTCATCAATATTCGGACAAAAGGGAATTTTTACAACAATCCTCTTTCTTGGGTTAAATCCGAGCCTTCTTTTCAACTCCGTTGTGATAAAACTACGAATGATTTGCCTACCCCGCTTTCCGTCCACGCTTTTTAATCCCTATAGCATTCTTCGTAGCCCTACGGTATCTTTCCCCCGAAGTGTGCTTTCTGCATTTCCATGGTGCTCTTAGCAGCGTTATGATTTCATATTTCTTACGATCTGATTCCGATACAGTCCTTACTAGGCAATTGAGGTTTCATTGGCCACCTTGCTCAAACATACATTTCATATCTTTTAGAGTATAGCGTCCAGTGGAATCAAACAATTTAGAATCCTCGTAGACCAATCGCACAAGTCTCCATGAACACATTCACTGTGTCCCTCCCTGGCATGAGATGTGAACTGGTCGGTTCTTCCCTTTGGCAAGTTTTAGAACATTCATCAGATTACCGGTCAGTTTATTTTTCGTAAGATCGGACATAAGTGCTAAGTGCTAAGGACTGGTGGTTATGACTGAAATGTGTGAGACTGAGCAAACAGACGAAGTCCAAAAAACAAAGTCAGAGATGAGTAATCACAAGTACACAAAGGTACAGAGTAAAAAACTTGATTGCATATCGCCGGCGGGGTGCCTACCCCGACCGGTTTCGGCCGTCGCCACACGGCCTCCTCAGGGGGAAACCACCTTACTACGTCCTGTCACAAAGTCCAACTCTCCGACTCTCCCACCTCCGTCGTCCAACCCACCACCATCTAGTGATAGCACGTCCAACGACGTTGGACCCAGAAAGAACAACATCGGCGCAATCATTACTCTTATAGGACTATCCTTGTTAAACGC